TGTTAAAACATATAATATATTAGTATGTCTATCCATTTAGAATCAAATAAAGACATATTCAGAAAGACAAGCATCCCATTTTACAGTTCTCCAAATTTTGTAGGTGTAGTTTCCAGCCAATGCAGTCTATGCAAGTAATGGCAGATGTCATTTGCATTTGACAACGTGCAGTAAAGTTATACACATGAGCAACTAACATAATTGCTTCCTTGTTAGTGAAAGAATATGTATCACATTTTCTATGTGAGTTTAAATTCACTGGACAATTTCCTTGCCTTAGGTTTTTATCTAAATTAAGTAATCAGGTCTAAAAGCCACTATTTTTGCACAATATATGCCGTTCCCAAAACCTCTTATTACTGCTCTGCACCCCTATCAGCCACACACTGAATCCCATTTAAATTCTGTATCCCTCAAGGGCAGATGCTACTGCCAGAGTTTCACATGATTAAACTACAGGCAAAGTTTCTTAGATGTGACTGTACACAGAGATCTGGTTAATGGTCTCTCAAAAGTTTTGTTCCAAATCTTGGAACTTTAGCAGCGCTTGTAACTGCGAACACTACATATGCCAGTGTACACTGTATCCACACACACAGTATATTACTATGTATTGTCAAGTGCACTATCTAATTAGTCTCTGTACTATTTATACCCATCTGTACTACGCTAACAGCCATTGGTGGCCTATAACTATCAACCAGCGTACAGGAATCAGGGTGCCACACATGCAGAGGTATACACATATAAACACACCACACACAGTGGTGATATAGTTGGTCATTTGTCACATGGATGTCACAAGGCATCATAGGATAACACAGACATGTTCCTGAGCAAAATATCCCAACACACGCACAAAATCTGTGCAGTAATAATGCAGCAGCGCTTTCTAGTAGTAATTAACAATTGGTTGACATAAAGATTAACATGTATATCAGCAGACATAATCCTCGTAGATCAACTCTGGGTCCTGTAGTATCTCTAATAGATTCCATAGGATTTACTGGTGGTGGTGGTTATCAACTACACCAAGACTTTTCTTCCTTGAATAATATAATAACAATGTGAACGAGGGAAAGAATTGCAAATGAATCAAATGAGGTTCCTGCCTCACATGTATTTCCAATATATTTCTCTGTTCCCACTACAGCTGCCAAGACAAAACAGTTCACTCTGGTGTATGTCTTCTGCTGCTCTCAGCAAACATGAAAACATGCGTGTTTGAGCTGTTAATGTTAAGCTTTTCTCTAATGGGAGTTTTTCTCTAATGAGTGCAACGGCATCCACTTAGAGAAGTGTTTTGAGCGCGGGGTTTTACAGCAGGACTCTTCTGCTGCACTGGATTCTGGACTGTACAGTATACAGTGCACTAGTACAGCACACAAAGGAAAAATGTCAGGTCAATTATAATTTGTTCTACCATAACCCTGTTTAGATGCTAAATACACTATGTACGTTTAGACAAGCAACAAAGGTTTATAGATTTATGCTTCATTGTTCGTATTTCACTTTTATTATTACAAGAGAAAGGTTTTGAGGATGAGGACTAACCGATGTTTTTGGAAAACATAATGCATGTAATGAATTTGTTTCAGGTTATAGTATACGGTGGCCGACAAGGGCAAACACGCCGCAAATGGCAAAACGCTGCAAACACATGAATGATACAAAACCAAAAACACGAAGAAGAAGAAGAAAGTTGGCTAAGTTTTGGAGAGGAGAGTAAAAAGTTACGTTTTCCTTTATGTCTTTT